TGCTGTGGCACCATCAGTAAAAATGTCCACAGAGTGGAAAACATAAAGAAGGTCTTACTATTATTATGGAAATAGTTTTGGCCTTGAGGATCCCCTTGAGAGGGCTTTGGGGAACCCCAGGAGTCCATGGACCACACTCACTGCTCTAGATGTAATCAGAATAAAGCAGAATACAAAAAGAATTTTCATCTCCCTTCTTAATAACATGCCTTTATTAATTTGATTGCATTCATTTTTTTAAAGAGCCATGCCATCTGATTAATTTGTATTTGGCATTTAACACACAAAAAATCTCGGAAGATATGACACTAGAGTCTTTATATTAGAGGTAATGCCTACCCTCAGTCTCAAGAGAGAAATGGGTGTTTTCCATACGGTTGATACAAGAAGTGCATTCAAGACGGGAAGAGGAATCTAGGCAAATATACATGGAATGAACAGATTGGGAACCGGGAGAATGAGGGAACTATTTGCAAAGGAATGAGGGTGCCAGAGGACACATGCACAGGGCAGAGGGAGGTCAGCAGGGAGAAAGGAATGCCCACATCGGTTTGGGAACGGGCGCACGTGAGACTGGTGATTGGAGGAGACTGCTTTAGGCCAGTGGCTGAAAGTGGCAGGCACAGGGGCTGGTGGGCTTAGCCAACGTCAAGGTTATGAGCCCCAGTCAGCTTCAGAGGCCTGATGAAGGCTCCTCTTCTGCACCCATTGCTCAAAGCTCCAAGAGAATGTGGGACCTCCCCAGATGTTGGTAGGAAGGGATTCATTGTCTCCAAAGATGCTCCCTGTCTCCGTATCACCGTAGCAGTTAGGAGGCTTCAGGCTCCATCAAGTATTAATAGAAGTAGAGACATTCCGGTGACTTAGAGAAATCTGACCTTGAAAGAAGCTATTGCAGTGCCTGTTCTTGGGGACTCTCTTGCTTTGGGCCCTCCTGCAACCCATATGGAGCCCTAGTACTTCTCAACCTGGATGTCATTTATGGGATTAAAAGTCTGTCTACCCACTGGACAGTGAGTTCTGGAAGCAAGGACCATGACTTAGTCATTCAGCAAATGCTTGTGAAGTTCCCACTGTGTGCCAGGCACTGTGCTGGGCGCTGGTGGGGTGAGAGCGGTGAACTAGACCAAGGCCCTGCCCATGGAGCTGCCTGCCCATGGACTGGTCCCTCTTCATGTCTCCACCCCTGCCCAGTCCAGGGACACAGTAGGTGCTCAGCAAGTCTTCCTTCTCTTCCACTCACCAGATCTGTAAAGGAAAGATGGGAAGATGTTCCACTGAGAAGCATCCTCCCATTTCTTCAGAGAGGCTCACTTTCGTGAGCAGTTCATCAACAGATCCTTTAACTTGCTCCAACCCCATCACCCCAATTCTGTGATTAGTTGTTGAAACCATGTGCCTTCCAGGGGTGACCTCGTACCCCCTTCACCACAGTGCTCTTAACCCCTGGAGGCGCTGTTCTCTAGATTCTCATCTTTCCCCTGAACCACGGTCCTGCACCCCACCGTTGACGAGGCATTTCCCTCACATCCCACCTGCCAGGCTTCCTCATCATTGTACAAAGGATGTTTAATCCCCACCCCTTAGGGAGGCAAGATGGACAGAGGGACAGGTTCATTTCAGGAAGCTGGAAGTTTGGGTTTCTGCTCTTGGTAACCTTGGCTTGGGGGAGATCCTCTCTTTGCATCGAGACAAATTTCCTGGAGGAAGTCTGTGGGGGCTCCTGTGCCTGCTCGTTGGGCAATGAGGGCAAACATCCCTGCCTCTAAATCAGCTCCCAAGCATCGGTGGTAAGAATACTCAGCCAAGAAATAAACATCACCTCCCAACCTTCCCCATTACTAGAAAGTAGTAAACCCTCACACACACACACACACACACACACCAAAACAAGAGACATCACAGATTGCCTGGTAATATCATTCTTTCACTCCAGCTTACAGCTCATTGCCTGGGCAACAGGTACGCAACTGGCCCAGAGGATTCTGCAATGACCAATACGTGGTTCCTGACCTCGAGGGGTTCACTCTCTGGTTGGGGAAATGATTACATAAAGTAATGATTTCAATCAGCTCTTTGGAGAAGGTCCAAACTCCTTGGCGAGAGCTGTACGGTGCTGCGGGATCTGGCTCCCGGGGCCTAGTCCAGCCTCACCTCCTCCACCCACCACAGTCTCAACCACACCGAACAGTGTGCTTGAGTCCGGAACAGATGCTGCTATTACGTGCCTTTGCTTAAACTGCTCCTCTGCCTGGAATGCCCCTCCCATGCTAGCAAAGACGCCTGTGTTCCCTTCTCTGACAGTGGTTGCCCATCTGCACCAGATCCCAGCTGGAAGACGGGAGATGCCTGAACCTTAATTCAAGTTCTGAAATTTTATTTTACCTGAGACTGGACGTTTCACTGAATGAATTGAGTCTGTTTTGTGACTTACAAGTAACCATAGCTTTCAGATTTTTTAACCTAAGATTAGCCAGAAAATGTTGAGCCTTGTCCCAGATTTCATCCAGGGACAGGGAGAATGAAAACCTCCAGACAAAATGTAAAGGAATTCTGGGAGAAAAAGATAAATCTACATTATGATAACAGCCTATAAGCCAACCTATAAGCAATCGTGCTGAGGTTTCCAGCGTCTATCTTTCCCTGAGACTGTGAGCTCCTTCCTGCCTAGAGGAGGGACGTGCAGAGAGCAAGTGTTCAGTTAAGATGGGGGAGGGCACAGAGGTGGCAAATAAAACTGTAGGGCAGGGCAGGCTCTGTCCCCCGGAACATGTGCTGGCAGCAGGACTCACGACCCACACTGTCCCAGGAACCAGCCTCCAGGCGTGGCAAGGTCTCTCAAAGGAGGCCTAAGAGTGTTTTAGCAACAGCTGTCTTTCTTGCACAGATAAACCCGAAACTTTATATGAAGTAAATGCACTCCAGAAAGGCAATGTGAGTGCAAAGTGGTTAACAGAGAAGGTGTGGACAACAGGTATCAGATCCTTTCCTGCTGACACTGTGCTAGTGTAGAAGAATCCACAGAGAGGAGCAGGGACCCACCTAAAGAGAAGGGTCATGACCAGGTAAACCAAAGACATAGCTGACAGCCCATCTGTGTGCACTGCCTTGATCTCACCAGCCGTGGGATACGCATGCTGTCCCAGTGATGAAAGTGAGGTTGACAGGTTAATGAACCCGCCCCAAATCACACTGCCACTAAGTGTCAGAGCTGCAATTTAAATTCAGGTCTGTCTGGCTCCAGAGCCCCTTCTACCAAGCCACACAGCTTGACTCTGGGTCAACAAGCCTTCATTTCCTTCTTCCGATTTTTGGAGGCTACTCTGCAAACATTCAAGTGTGTGCACGTATGAGCTGTGGCCCTGGATGATTTAAGACCCACCCATCCACATGATCCACGCAGGGCTTGCAGGGGTGGAAGTCCGAGGGCAGAGCACAGGAAAGCTGCTGCTGAGGACAGGAGAGGCTCTCCCAGGATTCACGCAGTGCCCCTGACCACCCCTCTGCCCAGCCGTGTGTATCCTGCCTGCCCTACCTTGGGGCTCCCACGTGGCCAAGCTCACTAGCCTCTGGCTTCACAGGGGCTGGCGGAAAGCAGCCAACACTGTCAACCAACCCAACCCCTTGGTGGTTCCCTCGCAAGCCAACCTCATGCCAGAGCAGGGCACCCATCGTCTGATACCTGGTGAGTCAGCACAACTGATCAAGAACCTACCAATGAACTAAAGGTCATGGCCTAGGGGCCAGCCATGAGCAAGGGACACCAACTCTTTCCCAAACCCTAACTGGCCTTTACTCTTATCTCTCGGTGAAAGGCCTGGGATACAACCAGCCCCACTCCTGGGATCAAAATCCATCTGCCAACTGAGGATGGGCCGCCCTGGTTCCGGAGGGGCTGAACACCAGGGGTGAGGATGGGGGATTGGCTCGGCTTTGGGCCTGGCCTGAAACCCCCCGTGGGCAAAACTGACCTCAACAGAAGGAGCAGTGCCTGTCATCTCCTCTGAAGAACGATCCCTCCCAGGCAGCTTTATGTCTCACTCTTCTCTAAGTTCTCAACAGCTAGTATGACAGCTGGCACACAGTAGGGGACAACATACGTTCAGGGAAGGAATGGTATATCATCAGTGGAGAAGAGACACAAGTTTCACAAATTGATAGGTTTACTTCATTGTTGGCTGTATACATACACGTAGATGTATCTGAGTCACTTTAAGTCACATAATTGCAAAGACACAAACACATAATAGCTTATCCTGCTGGCTGAGTGCCCTGGGGAATACTCCAGGCCCAGGGTGGCTTCTCTCTGTATCTTCTGGCTGCTCTACCCGCTCTGGCCAGTTCTCCCTGAACCCGCTCTCCTTCTCTCCCTCCCTGCTGCTGTTCCGTGATGGTGGCAACACAGGCAAGGGCCGGTCCAGACAGATGACAGGTTCACAGAGGCCTGAACAGGCCAGTATCTACAGCCACAGCTTTGGCCTTCTCCCCTGCTCCACGCAGTGTGCGTTTCACTTCAAGGACACTATAAATCCGTGAAGGCAAGGACCGCCTGGGCATGGAGAGGCGGCGTCCAGGAAGAGCAGTTCCTTGGCAGACCGCTGGGCCTGGCACGGCTGTGAGGGCTCAGGGGCTACACGCAGGGCAGGGCAAGCCACAAACAGATACGTAAGACCCGACGTGGTGTGTGCTGGAGCAGACGAGGGGCAGGGTAGGGCGGCTTCCTCAGAGGGGACATTTACTGGTGCTACCATGTTCCATATGCTGTGTTAGGCACTTCAACTTCATCTCACTGGATCCTCACAAAGGAGGAAACGGAGCTCAAAGGCAATACCTGTGACACGCCCCCGAGCAGGGACTCAAATCCAGATCTGTCTGCTTCTGAGCCCCATCCTCTTTCTTCTGTACACGCTGCCCCCCGACGGGACGTCTGCGCTGGGGCTCAGAGAATGGTAAAGAGACCTCCAAAATAAATGAATCACTTTCAGAGCAAAGTAAAAAAACAAAAAAACAAAAATAAAAAACACGGAAAAAAAACAAAAAAACACCATATTCTCTCCAAGTTTCACATCGTGAGTGGCTGGAAGAGCAAACATAAAGGACGCTGGAAACATGACTGTGGCAACAAGAATCGTCTGAGCAAACGGCAGCTTCTCCCTCCCCGGATTTCTTGCTCTTTCGGCCAACAAGGCTGATGAATATTCCAGAACTGCTGCTGTTGAGTTCCGGAAGGGAGATCTCCCAACTTCAAATGTCTTTAGGACGGCTTTACTCACTGGGCCCTGGGTTCTCAGTTTTGTTTTTTATACTGCAAGACAGAGAGATTAGAAGTGGGGGAGGGAAGCCAATGGGGGCAGAAGGACTCTGGGGAAATCTGGAGTCCTAGTCCTCTGGGCCTCACCTGCCTCCTGCAGGGGCTTCTCGGAGGTGGTGAAGCCCAGTCAGGAGGCACTGACCCGCTGAATCTCTAGTTCATGCCTGGACTCCTTTTCTTCTTTAATGGAAAAGGAAACTGATGGGGCTGGAGAGGGAGGATGATAAGAAAACTGGGGACATTGGCTGAGCACAGTGGCTCACACCTGTAATCCTAGCTACTTGGGAGACTGAGGCAGGAGGATCGCTTGAGCCAATGAGTTTGAGATCAGCCTGGGCAACATAGCAAGATCCCATCTCAAAAAAAAAAAGAAAAGAAAAAGAAACTGGAGACATTAGAATTGAAAACTGTGGGTGCACTTATCCTTCTTTCTGAGCCTTACTCAGGGGGAAAAAAAAGTCTCAGGTAGAGGAGAACCCTCAGAAGCCAGCTACTCCAATCACTGAGTTTAAAAATTGGACCCTGGGCCCCATATCTGGTGAGTCTGAGTTAGGACAGAGACATGGGGACATACTCTACTCTCTATGTCCTTCTAATTACGAGTCTAAGGACCAAGAAGCCAGTCTACATTCTTGACTCACTCCCTCCCTCCACAAAAACAAATCCTTGAATGTTTCCTCATAATACTACCCCAAGATGAATACCCCCCCAGAGACAGGGAGCTCACTCCCCAAGACAGCCTTCCTCTTTAGACATCACAATGCTGCTGCCAGCTTGGGCACTACTGCATCCCAGAAGACCTTCCTCCTTCCTGCTGCCCCTTCTCAGCTCGTTCAGCGCTGTTAGGCAGAAACTCGCCTTTAAGGATTAAAGGTGACACCACCACCCCTCCACCTTGCAGCAAATAAATGCAACCAGAAGGGACCACCTTTGGGCTTCTGGAGGAGGGGCGCAGCTGGCCGGGGACCTCCTCAGCACCATCATTCCCAACTGTGGGGCAGGGGCGGCCCCTTGTGGTCACAGAGGTTACAGCCAGCATCACCCCAGCTCGCAGGTGGAGGGGGTGCCAAGCACCTACTTTGCTCATGATCCAATCGGCATCTTCAATGGCTCGCTTAATGATCTGCTGGATTCTCTCAGGGTTGTCTTCATCCGAATGAACCTGGAAGCTCTGGAGGTTTAAGCACAAGAAAAGATGACTCAGCAAAATTCCCAGGACCAGCAGCTTCAGAGCACTGCTCATGGGCCAAGTACATAGCTGGGTTTTACATTCAACATCTCTTTTAATCCTCCATGGACCGTTATGATCATCCCACTTAGAGACGAGGAAACAGAGGCTCAGAAATCCTAACTTGCTGCTAAGCAATGGCATTTGAATCCTATTTTGCAGTCTATTTGACTGCAAAGCTCGTACTCCTGACAGCAGGACAGTTGCAAAAAGGAAGACTGGCCCACAAGTTACCCCAAAATCAAACAGGGGCCAAGGAGAAACTTCGATCCCTGTTCAGTTTGCTCCTCAAAGGAAGCTGCTTTCACCAGGGTGAGATCTCTGCAGGGCCTTGCAGCAGGGAGCAACAGGCCTCCCCTTGGCCCGGTGCTGGAAAGGCAACGGGGAAGGGAAGGGAGGGAGTGGAGGGGGTGGCTTTGGGAAACCCGGCCAGGCCCGATGCAGAGCGCGGGCTGCTGTGTGCTTCTGACCAGGTGTTCGCCCTTTAGAAGCAACCTCAGATGCAGTTCATCGGTGTGGTGTTCAGGGCCCTTCAAAACGGACCAGCACCTGTCACCCCTGTCACTCCCAACCCTGCACATCCTCCTCCTCTTTAGGTACCACCTCAACATCCACCTCTGGGAAGCCCCCCTGCCTCCCCCAGGCAGCTAACCACTCCCTTCTCCATGTTTCCACAGCCCTCTGTGGCTACCTCTAGTTTTTCACTTTCCATATTATATTTGTATAAATTCTAGTTTTTAACCTTTTATTTGGAAATGATTTCTAAATGATAGAAAAGTTGCAAGAATAATACAAAGAATTCCCTGCCAGAATCACCAGTTGTAAACATTTTGCCACATTCGTTTTATCATTCTTTCTTTATAAAAGTTTTTTCCAAAAGCATTTAAGAGTAAGTTGTAGATGTCACGCCCTTACCCCCTAAACATTCCAATGTGTATTTCCTAACAACAAGGGCATTCTCTTACATAACCACAGTAATAAAATTCAGAAAATTTAACACTGAGACAACACCATTATCTAATCTATAGCCCATATTCCAATGTCATGCATTGCCCCAGGAATGTCCTTTACAGCAATTTTTTTTTTCTGGTCCAAGATCCCATCTGGGATCATGTATTACATTTAGCTGTCACGTCTCTTTAGTCCTGTTCAATCCAGAGCAGTTCTTCTGCCTTTCTTTGTGTTTTGAGATACTGACATTTTTGGTGAGTATAGACCAGGTAGGTATGCGGTAGAAGGTCCCTCCGTTTGGGTTCACCTGATGTTTTCTCACGATTAAATCCAGGCTGTGCACTGTTGGTAGGGAGGCCTGTCAGAATGATGTTGTGTCCCACACTCTATTCTAATTCAGCTGCCTCAGCCATGCCCTGGCACACAGCTGGCGTATGGGGCGATGCACCCCCCCATTTCCTGGAGAGAAGCTGGGCTGCCCAGCATTGGTTTCCTGTGGCTCTCAAACTGCCACCCCACCACCACCTGAAAGACTACCCCTGTACCCTGGCCCTGGCCTCCAATCCCCCCACCAAGGCCCCTGTTAGAGTAGCCCCCCAGATCCAGCGCACCCTGCTCCCACCTGCCTGACAGCATGTTTGTAATGCTCCTGGATGCCCTTGGTTGGCAGCTGCCGGCAACAGCGCAGCAAGTAGCGGTAGAGCTGCAGCGGCCTCTGGACCAGCTCTGCCCCCGGTAGTGGGGCCATTCGCAAGACCCTCTGTCCCTGGAAAATACAGAGCATCACTCCTAAGGCATCGAGCCAAGCTGTATACTCAGCCCTGGCCTAGGTGCCAGTCCTCTGTGAAGCAGGCTGGACACGGAGCAGAGGTCAGTTCCCCCTCGTGCCCCACCCCACGGAGCCTGCACGCTGGGCTGGGCGTTGAGCCCTGCAGAAGTCCCAGCCCAGAGCAGGCCCACAAAGACCACAGGCAAGTGTGGAAGGACATGCACAGCCTCATCCCTGGTGTCTTCTTCCTGGAGACCGACTTCAGATGTGGGTGAGGAGGTGTCCCTGACAGGCAGAGCAGGGCAGATTAGCAGGAAGATCCCGAGGGGCAGTCACTGAGAAAGCACCAGGCAGCAGAGGGGAGGAGAATGCCCATAGGTCTGGGCTTTGCTACTCAAAGTACGGTCCTGGACCAGCAAAGCCAGCGTAACTGGAAGCTCATTGGGAATGCAGAGTCTCAGGCCCCGCCCCAGACCTACTAGACCAAACCTGCATCTTAACAAGGTGCCCAGGAGAGTCGCATGTACATCAAAGCTTAAGCAGCACCATTCTAGGGACCTCCGCATGAAGAAAAGCTGCACACAGTTGCTATCGTGCATGCAAAGCCTAGGCACATGATTTCATTTTACTGTGTTATTAATAACAATGAGCACTTTTTCTGTTCTATTCACTTTATATGTGATTAATTGCACACATAAGAAAAGCATGCACAGAGAGGTCTGGTAACTTGCCCAAGATCACACAGCTGATAAAGTAGAGCTGGGATTTGAATCCTGGAAGTATGGCTCTAGACTTTAAAAAAAACAAACAGCTTTATTGAGGTATAGCTGACGTACAACCAACTGCACATGTTTAAAGTCTATAATCGAATAGGTTTTGGCATACGTACACACCTCAGAAACCATCACCATAATCGACAGAGAACACACCCATCACCCCCAAGTTACCCCCAAGTCTCCCTCCCTCCTGCCTGCCCCATTCCCAGGCAACCACTGCTCTGCTGTCACTACAGATTCATTTGCATTTTCTAGAGTTTTGTACAAGTGGAATTATACAGCACGCTCTCTTTCGTGTCCGCAGAGCCCATATTTTTAACTCTGTATTGAGGCTCTTTTCAAAGAACCCACAAATCTAGCCTGATCTCTTTTTTATTTTAAGGAAACTGTGAGAATATAGATTATTTCAAATGTTAGATTCTAAGGCTGGGCGCGGTGGCTCACGCCTGTAATCCTAGCTCTCTGGGAGGCCGAGGCGGGCGGATTGTTTGAGCTCAGGAGTTCGAAACCAGCCTGAGCAAGAGCGAGACCCCGTCCCTACTAAAAATAGAAAGAAATTAATTGGACAACTAAAAATATATAGAAAAAACTAGCCGGGCATGGTGGCGCATGCCTGTAATCCCAGCTACTTGGGAGGCTGAGGCAGGAGGATCGCTTGAGCCCAGGAGTTTGAGGTTGCTGTGAGCTAGGATGACGCCACGGCACTCTAGCCCGGGCAACACAGTGAGACTCTGTCTCAAAAAAAAAAAAAAAATGTTAGATTCTAGAACATACGGACTTGCTAAGCTTTCATTAAGTGCCCCTCTATGTGCTTGCTGCCTGACCGACTCCTGCCTGAAACTCCTGCCTGAAACCTGCCTGGTGTCCCTGCCCCCAGCCTGTCATTCCAGTCTCCTCGAATCAGCTCTGGAACCAGTGTCCTAGGCACACTCCAATCAGCCATAAGAACTTCTCCCAGACCTCCCAAACCATCAAGTGCGTCACCTCTCGGTGCCTGTGCACACGTGGCTCCCTGCGAGGGAGCTCCCTTCCTCCTCTCCTCCAGGTCCAGCTCTGTGTCATTCCTCCAGGAGGCCCTTCCTGACTGTCGCTCCCTGGGGATGGAAGGATCACTCTGTCCTCTGTGGGAATGCAGTGCCTGGTTCGTGCTGCTACAACAGCCACCCCCACCTGCCGGGGATTCATCTGCCCCCGCGCCCGTGGCTCTCCCTAGGCTGAGTGGCTGGCCCGCAGCAGGCTTCACTCACTGTTCAGCTGAATTGAAAGATTCTGTTATCTCCTCTGCATAGAAACCCCTCTACGAGAGAGGCCTCCTATATTCCAGAAGAAGGAGCTAAAAGAGATTTAGTGACTGGCCTTAGTTTTAAAGGAACACAAAAAAGACAAAGACAACCCCCCTGCTCCCCACACCCCTGCAATAAAAGAGAGAACCAGATCACCAATCTATCAGATGTCCTTAAACTAAGAAAGGAAGCTTATGAAGTGGCTGGTTTCAGAGGCTTCTTCATTCTATTTCCAGCACATTATCTTCCTGGCAACAATAAATGTGTCTCTGCAGCTAAGGTAGCCAATTCCTCCTGGTTCTCCAGGCTGCTGTTCTGACACTGGTGTGGACAGGTGGTTGTCTGTCCCCTCATCATCTACTCTCCCGAATGTGCAACTTGGGGTAAACTCCCAGCCTTCAGCCCCCGAGGTCTGAGTGGGACTCCACCCCAGGCCTGACCAACCAGAGCCCAGCATCCACGTGTGCACAGGGATTGGTACACAGATGGACGCGTGACAAAAGTTGGTCTGATCAGAGCGAATCTCAACACCCCCGCAGAGCTGACCAAAAGGACTCCAGCTCTTTCCCACTAGACTTGAGGCTGAGGGGACTGGATCCTCTCTCAGTGAAGCCACCTTGCCTCCTCTTGAAACCTGGGACCACAGCCACAGAGCAGAAGGCAGAGCTGAGAACCAGAGAGAAACCAAGTGCAAAGAATTCATTTGAGGCCGAAAACCACCCACCTGAAGGCAGTTCCAGATTCTCCCATGATGAGCTTCTGGTGGTTCCAGCTCTAAGGAAGAGTCTGGACAAGACAGGGCTCCTCAAGTTCCTCCTGCTACGAATCACCAATTTGCCAGGCTGACTGGCCACGCTTGAGCCCAGCAAACAGAGGGGAACCCCACACAATGGTGGCCAAGACCTTCAAGGGCAACCACAGAGGACATACCACCAAAGTCCCCAACCTGATGGGCAGACTCCCCTGGCAGGTTTTCCCAAACTATATAAAGTAGTAATCAAATATTGTAAAATGCTAGTCGTGGAACAGATGGTCACCATCTGCAGTCCTCAAAATTAACATTTGGAAAGAGCACAACTTTGTTTCATTGCTTAAAAACCCAAGCAATACTTAGTAACCAACCCAGCAAGTATGGGCGGCAGATTATTTTCAGCTCAATTATAATACTTAGTCATTCTCAGTAATAACTAGTAGAGAATACATGTGTGGGTCCACTTAGAAGAGCTAAACTAGAAGTGTTTTAATTTAATTTAAAGTGTGGGTTTGCTATTATTTAACAGGCAATGAACCTGACAGCATCATTGCTAAAGCTGGAGTCAAACCCTTTGGCCCCAGCAAGGATTGCTTTGCTTATCCTGCCCTTTGGACCCAACCTTAGCCTCCCACCCAGCTCCCTGCTTCTGTCACGGCACCTCCATCTTCCCAGGCAACCCAGACTCCTCCCTGGCCCCCAATCCCCACGCCAGTGGTTTCTAAGTCCCATCAAATTCTACCTCTGGATGACCCCTCACATTTGTCCCCTCCTTCCTACTCCACTGCACATCCCTGGTTCAGACTGTTGTCACCTTTCACTGGGACAACTGCAACAGTCCCCGAGCTGGTCTCCCTGTTTACCAATCCATTTCCCTACCATCTGTTCTCCACCCAACAGCCAGAGTGGATCTTTCCAAAGCATAAATCTCAGCGTGTCCTGTCCCTTCCTGAGGCCCCTGCTGTCCACACCTACCCTGCATCATTCATGGCAACTTTTCCCAAAATGTGGGACAAATACCTAAAATTATTTTAGGCAGTATATGGACCAACATCTTTTTATTATGATTTTCTATTTATTTTCATGTGTAATGAAAACATAGAATACCCATGTTTTCATAGATATTATGGCTTAAAGTGTTTTTTTTAAATAGACATAAAATTGATTTTTTTTTAAATGTATCAAACAAATAATGCACTTGAAATGTGGACATGGCGAAATCACGGAAGTGGCAGTGAGGTGTGGAAAGCACTGGTCTACAGGATAAAATCCAGACTCCCGCCCATGGCCTACAAGGCGCCTCCTCCTAGAAGTCCTCACCGACCCAGCACTCCTGCCACCATGCTTAGTGGGAGGCCTATGGTTATCTCAAAACAGCCCTCATCACCCTGCATTACCCTAGTTGAGGCTTCCAGTTCGGGCTCTTACCTGGATTACTGGAAGGGCATCCAGCTGCCCTCAGGCCTCCGCCAGCCATTCTCCACATAGTGGTCACACGCTTTCTCAACCTCCCAACCGAAAATCTTCCCACAACCGGACAGTAAATGATACTGTGGATTACTATTAATTTTCCCGGGTATAATACTGATAATGCGGTTATGCGGGAGAATGCCTTTATCCTTAGGAGATGCACGTGGCAGTATTTAGAGCTGATATGTCATCAGCTCTGCAACTTACTTTCAAATAGCTCAGCAAAAGATAACACGGAGAAGAGACAGAGTAAGAAAGATAAGGACATGTGGTGAAATGTTAACACCGTACTTAGATGGCGGGCATTAACGGTGAACACTGCGCTATCGTTTAACTTCTACGTAGTTTGAATATTTTCATAAGAAGAAGTTACTTTAGAAACATCCTTGGTGGGGAGTCATCCAGCTGTCCTCCCCCAACGTGCTCCCCAGCGGCAGGGAGCTCACCCGCACTCCATTTTCACTCTGCTCAAACTGCTGGGAAGTCCGTCTGGGTCTGAGCTGAACGTTACCACTGTAATATTCTACTCATTGGTCTGAGCTCCGCCCTCTGGGGCTAAAGTCTCCCTAACCCACCCCCGAGTCCAGCTTTTCGTTAATCAGTCGACTACCCCAGCTCCCCCTCCCACTACCCGTCACCCCTTTCCCAACAAAAGCATCCTGAAAATGCCACTAATATCATCTCCCAAAGCTTTTCCCTTCTTGAGGC